GTTAACCTTTTGACTGTTTGCTTGGGAGGATTGCTGGAATCCCTATGGATAGATATTTGGTCCCATCTTGTTGGGAATATTTTTATTGATTCTCAGGTATCGAACTCTTTGTTATTAAATGTTTCATTTATTGTTTAGCGCGTTGACTGTATAGCAAAGGCTGTACCGTTTGAGGTATTTTGTATCTTTGATATAATTTGTTGCATTTCCTAAATTAGAACCGTCTAAATTCAGCACAGAGTTTGTGTTTTTATACAATTTAATACGAGTATCTCAAAAACGGTTGGTACGCTATACAGAAGAACGTAGTCTGGCCTATTCGAATAAATTTGGGTTCATCAATCCTGCGTTCAAACCGAATACTAGCAGTTCAGTCGTTACACATACATTTTAAACAGCAACCATTAAACAACTCGTTGTCTTTGGTCTATCATATGAACTTGATATAAATAAACCCACGGCACCCTATTAAATACATCCTAGGTTACTGAAGGAGGTAGCAAATTTTGTCGCGAATCCCTCAAGCATATGTTCTTGCCTAACTGTAAGGCAGGATGGTTTACCAAAAGACAAGAAGAATGCTATCATAAGTCGTCCTCAAAACAGTTACGAGGTATACACTAGAAAACTGTCTACCCGTAGGCCTAACCAATGTGGTTGTTAAAACTTCGGGAAAGACTATTAAGAACGAGTTGTTTAAGTACGTCAACGGAAACTGGATTCATTTTAAAAAGCAGCACGGGTTTAAAACAAGTAGTTCATGTCTCACTAGCTTCTTAGTAGCCTGTAAAAATTGATGTGCTCTTAAGGGTCGAAATTCACCTATATGTGTAGCCTACATTACATTCAGAAAGACTTTTGACGAAGCTCCTCTCAACCGGCTGTTATATAAGTTGAGTAGTATCGAGATTGGGGGCAATTCATTGGTCTGCATGAAGGACTTCCTATTAGAGCGTCAACGGAGTGTGTAGGTGAACTAAAAATAATCTATCTGGGAATTTTTGTTTACCGGCGTGCCTCATTATACACTGATTGGACCAGTGTTATTCCTCCTGCATGTTGAGGACCTTCCTAGTCTCCTATCATCATCCGTTTTATTATATGCTTATGATTTCAAGATATAGATAGCGAAGCTCACACGCTCAAATTGAAAGTATAAAGTGTCTACATATGGAAGACGCGATTTTGCGGAATAAAATGGATGAATAGCGTGAACATAGTAATGTTAATAATACTCACTTGATGGAAGTATTTGAAACGCTGATATCTTCTTAAGTTATCGACCAGGAGCTAGCAGTATTGGACATGTCATTGTTTCGGAACGACAGAATAACAGAAACGAGGAAGAGGCGGAATCACCCTGTACCTGAAGTTGTGCTTGATAGCCCATCAATTGTAGAGTCGAGAGATTATCAGTCCTGATGAATCTGTATGGTGCTCAGTAAGATTTTGTCTAGTCGGAATCATCTACAATAAGCCCACTGAAATCGACTCTCATATGTTGGAGGGATTATCTTGCTCTACTTGTCTCGGATACATTGATAACCTGACGCCTGGAGACTTGAACCTTCCTAAGCTTAACTCCTCTGAACACACGTGTACTAGAGGTTAAAACTCTGGTGAAGCTGGGTTCCTAAACCTCATTGAACATCTGAGGTTATTCGAAAATGTTCAACATGCAACTCGTTGGAGAAATACTCGGGCACCACCGCACTCAGACTGTGTATTTACGAACGAAGAATTTCTAATTGACAACCTCTCAATCTCAGCTCCCCTGAGTTTAAAGTGATCATGCCATGTTAATCCCCAATCTTACCAGCAAAATTGAGCTGAGACATCCTACAAACAACAAGCATTGGAATTTCATGTCGGTGAATGTGCCATTTTTAATTATATCTAGAGCTTAAACGGCTATATGTTATATCATGACAAATCTACAATTATAGGATTGGGTCTATTATTAGAGCAGTACTAATATCATAGTAGACCATAATTCTACATATGTACTACCTGAGCACTCGAACGCCGGAACCCCCGCAAGTACAAACCTCTCAGGTACTTGTGGTCATCCAGTCCGCGTGCAGTAGCTTTTAGATTTTGTTCAATAGAGAAGCTAAACGTCAAGATTCCGGAGTGTTGTTCTAAAAGATTGGATGTAATGTCTCCGGCCTCTCAGAGCTTATTTGATTTCACTTGTGGGAGCGTCTTCACAGTTTTCCAGGACAATCTACGGCAGATGTGTAGAATTATGGTCTACTTCGTTATTAGTACTGCTCTAATAATATACTTAATTATAAAATTGTAGATTCGTCGTGTTTTAACTGCTTGATTTATAAAATCCTATGTGGAAGTCACATCATTGTCTACACTGACTCATCGTATCATAACAATTACCAATATATGATGAATAACACCTCCAGGTTAGATATAGAACATCATATTTAATATGAGTAAAAACAAGTTATGCAGAATGATAACACCCGCAAGGCTGAGGCATGCCACGCAACTGAATTGAACTTTGAATGAACGTTTCTGCATTCACAATTATTGACCTTCTCTTAGTGTTACATACTGAAAGTCTATTTTTCCAGTTATCTCATGTTCAGCTTTGAGGATTGTATTAAGGATACAGTAACACTAAAGTACCTATTGTGGCGTAGCAAACGAAGACTGAGATTTTCGATGACTTTAGTTTGCTTATAATTTTGCGCACCGTTTGCGGAACAGATTGCTTCGTAGTAAATATTATCATGTGCAGTATGAAATTCCAATGAGCATCCATATCAAGTTGATAGTGAACTTTATAGTCCATCTGTAGTGCACTGGAACCTAACCAAATAATCCTCAAAGCTGAACACGAGACAACTGGGAAAATAGATATTCAACATTTAACCCGACGATGGAGAAGGAAGGAAAAATGAATTTAATCAATTCGAATTGATCGTATGGCATGGCACAACCTAGCAGACATGGTCGCTCTGCCCAACTTCTTGTCACTCATACTGAATATTGTTGTCGTATCTCCAACCAGAATGTGTTCTCCATCATATATTGGTAATTGTTATGATACGATGAGTCAGTGTAGACAATGATGTGACTTCCACATAGGATTTTATAAATTAAGCAGTTAAAACACGACGAATCTACAATTTTATAATTAAGTATATTATTAGAGTAGTACCAATAACGAAGTAGACAATTCTACAGTACTGCGTGGCGGAATACGGACTAACTGGTAGAAAAAGCTCATACAGGCAATCCAAACAAACAAGGTAACAATGCACAAATGCAAGAATAGAAGACAGGCTCCAGTATCCGATAAAGCCAGTCGACAAATTTAGCTTTGATCCGAAAAGCTTATTCTATCACGCAGCTTCTATTCGACAAGCCAAAATCGGAGTTTAACTGTTTCTAAGTTCTGAATGCCCAACCAACAACGACAGTGATTCCGTCGACCTTCTGGCGGAACAGTATTTTGAGACACTTTGACCGCTATGTACTAACTATATTGATGGGAGCCTTACATACAACTTCACAGGACTCTCGGAAGTATTAGAAACTGCAACACCTAAACAAGGACACCTCCCGGCCCGTACATTTTTCATTCTGCTATACTGAAGGAAGTAGCTTCAGACATGGCAACACCGCTTAGCGTGATGTTCTCACGTTCGCAAATTCATGACACGATACCAGAAAACTGTAAGCTGGCTTACATTGCACCAATTTTCAAAGGAGGTCGACGCAACGAACCTATAAACAACAGGCTAGTAGCACTTCTGTCAATACTCTGAAATGCTACAGTCTACGTGAATACTTACTATTCGTTAGCTTCTTTTCACCTCAACAGCGCGGTTTCAGAAAGTCACTCTTGTAAAACCAACTTAATGAACACGGTGGACAGATGAACAACCATCCTCGATCGCAATGGGAAGGTTGACGTTATATATCTTGACTTCTGAAAAGCGTTTGACAAGGTCAATCGTATATCTGTCATCAGTAGACTCAAACGATTAGGTATTAAATTACCATTAGTTGATTGTCTTACTTGACATCTAATTAACTGACTTTTTAAAGTCAGTGTTAACTTCATTTTTTCTCAGGCTACAGAATGTTCTACTGGGGTCCCCCAGGGTTCAGTAAAAAGACCTCTTTTTTCTTAGTCTACACAAACAGTCTTCCACAGAATGCGTCGTCAGATTCATTACTTTTCGTTGATGATGAGGAGCTCTGGAAAAAAGTTTGCAACCAAGAGGATAAACTGGCACTTCAGGAGGATTTGACTCGACTTCAACAGTGGATAGATAACAACAAACTTATCTTTAACACTCAAAAGTGTGAAGTAGCCCACCTGAGACATGTTGTAGACCACGACTTTAACTTGGGTAACTCCCACCTAGAGGTATCCCAAGGCGAAAAAGATCTGGGAGTGTTGGCATCCTATGAAATCTTACGCTAAATGCGACAAAAATGATTTCCGAGCAAACGTTTCATTGGTGACGCTGAATAGCATTTTCGGCCAGTTGGGATAACGGACTTCCCATTTAATCTTCAACCTCTTTATTCGTGTTTCTTCCCTCACTCCGAAAGGATAAGGACACACAGAAACGCATTCAGTGGTGAGTCACGAAATCAGTTCAAGGACTCACAGTTAAGTCTTACGAGAAGCTCCCTCAACAAATGAACCTTTACCACTGGAGGCACAACATAGCAGAACGGATTGTAGGTATACCTTCGACTCCTTGGGAGTGGTCAACAGCTGGCTTAGCGAGCCCAAGCGACTTCCAATGAGTTCTTTAGGAGAAAACTTGACATATTCTTAAGGACTAGGGACGGCATCTCGCTATAATTAAACACCTTTTTCTTTTCTATTGTTAAATATGCCTAGGTAACTACATGCAGGCATCGGTACTCCATTGCTACTAGATACAGAAGCCCATTGAGCGTAAGTTGCTATTCCGTCTAGAACCTGAAACCATTTGAAACAGTGCGCTACTTTCACGATGTCCAAGGCTACAGAAGAAAGGAAGGTTTATAAAAGTATATTGAAAAAGTCTAGTGATCAGGTACCTCAGAAGAGCTTCCAGTGGGATGAATCAAATATTCTAGCTACTTATCATCCCGCAGATAAGACGTATGGTCATATGAAAATTGAAGAACCGAAAACACCTTACGTTTTTGATCCTGAGGACGGTTCTGCCGTCACTTCTGGACCCTTATTTACTGCAGAAGATTTAGCTGCCAGGCTTTCTGCGGCTTCAAAGGATCCCGACCAGCAGTTAGTAAGTTCCACACTTATTTCCCTAATATTTCGGGGTATTTTATGCCTAATTAGGTTATGTAAAAGCAATATCTGTATCACTACTCTGATGTAGTTCATTTTTGAAATGCCTTACTTTATTAACCTTATTTGAAATCCAGAACTTATTAACTCACTGCCCAATATTTGTGGGACTCTTCAGCTACGTGTTTTCTATTCTCCATATTTCCTGGGAAACTACACTCTTCAAGCGTATACCAAATAGTAAGTTCTTTTAGCGTGGCCGCATATTTAGTGTTTGCTCATTTTCAGAAAGTGATTCATCGTTCAGGTTCCTTTTCACACAGTTCACTTTCCCTTGATTAGTTTTTTATAAACTATAAAAAATGATAACGGTATAGACTCTTTGGTCTTGGGACCGATGCACATATGTGCCTGGTCCTACGTTGTAGCTGACTGACTGACTGACTGGGATTCATTGCCGCTTTTACCATATATTGTGACAATTTGTCTTGGGCATTTATTTGCCATTGTGGTTCACCCGCCTTAGTGGAGTAATGATGACCCTAGGACATGATCAACCGGAAGTTTTAACCCAACGGGCTTGTCGTCGGTAAAAGCTCTTCTGATAGCTTTCTATGTCCAGCAACATCTGGTCGTCTTTCTCCAATATGTGGGGCCATAAGGCACAATATAACAATGCCAAATGTGCAATGGAAATTTCGATTCATCGTGTTCGTTAGTTTTCATCTTTTCCAACCGTCTTGGAAAAGAGAACAAGTCAAAGTTTGAGCGCATGTCAAAATACACTCGCACTTGCGAAGGAAGCAGAAGGTGCGAAATAACCTGGTATATATGCGTACATATATCATGCTGTAGCGTGAGAAATTTCTGTGCAAAAAGTTGTTTTTTGGTTTTCTCAGAGAGAAAATATATACACATATAAACATATTAGAAGCGAACGATCTTTTTGATGCAAAAATACGGAAAAAACCTAAGATTTATTGTGGGGCGCAAGAAACGAAATAAAATGAAACGTTATGCAGTGTCCTACGTACAGTAGTCGTTTGAGTGTTTTGAATATCTTATTCTTTCCAGAACTCTTTCGGCCGGTTTTCGGATACCAGCGAAGTTTCATCGTGGTGGTTGTTCATCGGGAGTGGTATCGTAATTTTTAGGCTCGCATCGTTTGATTGTACAGGAGACTCAAAATAATTAGTCTCCATTTAGATAAGCAACATTATGACGGTCAGTGCTGACGTTATCGTTAGTCCTGTTCTTATCGATGATATAGTACTTAGGTTTGCGATGAAGGACGTTGAAAGACCCTTCGTACGTCATGTTGAGAGATCACCGTAGTAAGTTGTGACAGGCTAAAACGTGTGTACTTTGTTATAAGACACGTCGGACGAAAACAGTTGGTTGCGGTTGTGTGGAAACGGGTTTAATTAAATGCATAGCGTTTGTAAGCCTGCTCGTGTATGACTTTAGACCTACATTCATTAAGGAAGAAGGGGGACCCACAAATTCTTTTAAAACGGTGTCGTTTTGTAAACGAGTTGTGCTGCAATTTATCTAATGTTAACTTTCACTGCATTGTGAATATTGAGTAGTACTAGTGGAAAAGCTGCAATCCATTTTGGCACTTTGTCAGCTGAAAGCGAGGCCCTCAACTGTCGATGAAGTCGTTTTACCAACCCGTTGGCTTGTGACTGGTAGGCGGTCGTTTCGAATCGTGTAATTCCTAGTAGTGTAGTGAGACCACAGAAAGTCCGGATTGGAACTGGCGTCCACGGTCTGTAGTAATGGTTGAAGGGCAACCGAAGTAAACCACTCATCATTTGGCGGTGTAGACCACCGTATCAGCCGTGTTGTCCTTGATAGGTACTGCTTCTGGCCATCGTGTGTTACGGTCCACACACGTCAAGATGTAAGCATATCTATTTGAATTTGGCAATAGTCCTATCAAATTAGGATGAACATTGTTGAAGCAAGCTTCGCAGGTTGAGAAAGAACCTAGGGGAGAGTTGTTATGTCCAATCATTTCAGATTTCTGGCTGCCTACATAGGAGTGTACCTAATGCCAATTTATTTTCAAAGTAATGCTTCTGTTGTTGCCAGCTAAGTTTATGTTTACTACACTAGTCCGAAAGACTTTCAGGTAATCCTTAGCTTTGTCGGCAGCTATCACTTTGTTTTTCAGGCTTTTAAGGTCATCCACTTGTAAACCACTGGGCTATTTGAAGCAACGACTTATCATTGTTTTACTAGTTATTGTTTCAAAATATATAGATCGTTTAGTCCTTGTTATGCTGTGTCAGTTTAGATACGTGAAGAAGGATCTTAGTAACGAATCAAATCCAATTTTGAAAAAGTTAGAAGCTAAGCGAAATAGAAAGACAAAAAAACAGTCAAAAAGAACAGATAAGTGAGAGAAAACGGATGAATTTTTTCGATTTCGACAATTCCAAACCATGACTTTTTGTTATGCGTCTTCGCGAGAATCGTAGTCGCCAAGTATGCGTCACTGTACACAACTTAGGTTAGCGGTTAGTGGACTCATGCACTTGTGGAATATCTTTTGCCATTCTTTTTCCTAACCTAATCCTACTTTAATCATCATCACGCTATGGATCAACATTCTCAACAGCTCAGTGCAGGTCTATACCGTCACTTGACTTGGATCAAAAGCCTCTTCACAACTCACATTTTGCATTGTAGGCAACCGTTATGTTTGTCTAACCAAAACGTGGCATCAGTGCTTGAAGTCACCAACTTCTAGTCTGAGCCATGTTGGTAGATGTAGACTACTTGGTTGGGGTCCGTGTGACTATTATAACCAATGGTTGGAGACTGTGGTTGACATGGCTCAGAATCGATCACAGTGGCGTAGGTTTATACACTCTCTGTCTTTCCTTAAACTATGAGATTAAAATCGCTTCATGTCTTTCTTTCTACGAACTAATTTCTTCCTGTACTATATCCTCATATGCAATCTTCCTTTTATATGTTACCACCATTGAATTAACTACTATGAGTCCGTTGTTTGTCTTGCTGTGCTAATGAGGTGTGGCAACTTGGACCGATGCATATATGTGCCTGGTTCTACGTTGTAGCTGATTGGCTGGTCATGTTTGTCGTTTTTAACTCGCTGACCGAGGATTAATGGATTAAATAAGATTGCGAATAGGAATATATACTTAACTAATTGAACTAACTGACATTTACAGCAGTAATGAACACGATTAGACTGAAGTTCTAGTTGGATGATTAACAAATATATGGGTGGATAAGCAAACAAAGATTGGTAAATTAAAATGGTATACATATAAGGTATTAGAATTAATCACACAACCGTCTAAACGGAACAGTAAGGACTCGGAAAAGATAGGGACACTCATCGTTGCCTCTTCGTCGTTTCTGCCTATTCCCCTACTGACTGCAGCTCGGATGATGTAAAATATGAGTTTTACAGAAAGCTTTCCGAACTTCTCCGAAAAGCTAAGCGCTCGGATGTAGTAATAGTGGCCGGTGACTTTAATGCTCAAGTAGGTAAACTAAGCGATAGGGAAAGACATCTAGGTGGATCTTATGGTGTCGTGGCTCAAAGAACAGATAATGGCGATCGTCTGTTGCAACTATGCTCAGATAACCGCCTCCTTCTTGCGAATACTAACTTTAAACATAAGGAAAAACATCTTTTAACATGGCGACCCCCTAATTCGTCCCAACGTTGGACCCAAATACATCACATCGCTATCAGCCACCGATGGAGGAGCTCGATAGAAGACTGTCGCTCATTCTGGAGCACATGTTTAGATTCAGATCATGTTCTAGTGCGAGCGCGTATTTATCTGCGTCTTACTGGACGTAGGAAAGACGCTGCAAGGAAACCTCTTGGGGCCCTACTTAATGATAGTCAAGCTAAGAGTATCTTTCAGGAACAACTAGAAAAACAGTTAGGCAGCCATGTATGTGATGCCCACCCCGAAGCAGCATGGAATGATATCCGAAAAGCTGTGGAAACAGCAGTGATATCTGCTAGTACGGTAAACCACGAGGTTAGGGAGAAACACTGGATCTCAGCAGCATATATCGCACTGATAGATGCTCGGAAACTCATTCCACCTGGCACTGAACATAATGAAGAGCGGAGTCAGCTTAAGCGCAAGCTGACAAAAAGCCTACGCAATGATCGCGAACAGTGGTGGGTAGCGAAAGCAAAAGAGATGGAAAAGGCAGCGGCAATAGGTAATAGCAAACAGTTGTTCAGACTTGTTAAGGAAACCGGTATTAGGAAACCGACCGTTAGCGAAACAATCTCAGAGAAAGATGGACATATTATTCATTCTCAATCCAGGAGATTGGATCGATGGGCAGAACACTCTAGGGATTAGTTCAATTGGCCTTCAGCCACACTTCGGTTTCCCACGATCTCCAGTCAACCTGAATGGCAAGTTAATGTAAGTCCTCCGTCCCTTTACGAAGTTGAAAAAGCCATAGGAAATCTGAAGCGAGGGAGAGCAGCAGGCCCTGACAGGTTCACTCCTGAGATTTTTAAGGATGGTGGTCCAGTATTAGCAATGAGATTAACTGAGGTCTTAGGTAGAATTTGGGAACTGGACGTAATCCCATCTGACTGGTCTCAATCACTGATTGTGCCAGTCTTTAAGAAAGGACAAAAGTCCTCTTGTGACAATCACAGAGGAATCAGTTTGACTAATATAGTGTCTAAAATATTAGCTTCAATAATACTTCGACGCCTAACTAAAGCTCGTGAAGAGCAGACTAGAGAAAACCAGGCTGGTTTTCGACCTGGACGTGGTTGTATAGATCAGATATTCACACTACGTCAGGTTCTAGAACACAGACACACATTCAGACGCTCCACAATGGTAGTATTTCTCGACCTTAAGGCGGCATTCGACTCTATTGATCGTGAGGTTCTATGGCAGTGTTTGTCACTGAAAGGAGTACCAAAGAAGTACATTAACATTATAAAGGCTCTCTACTCGAACAAAACTGGTAGAGTGAGAGCTTAGGTATGGTATGTGCTTTGCACCTTCGAAGTGCAAAGTACTCCTACAAGACTGGCAGGATTCCAATCCTGTACTCACCCTGGATGGTGAGCAGATAGACGTAGTCGAGAAGTTCGTGTATCTGGGTAGCTGCATAAGTGCTGGTGGGGGTGTGAGTGGTGAGATCAATGCACGTGTAGTGAAAGCCAGAGCGGCTTATGCCAATCTGGGCCATCTTTGGCGCCTTCGTGATGTTAGTCTGGCTGTAAAAGGTCGGATCTACAACGCGTCGGTGAGAGCAGTTTTGCTGTATGCTTGTGAAACCTGGCCTCTCCGAGTTGAGGATGTTAGACGACTCTCTGTGTTCGATCATCGCTGTCTCCGAAGGATTGCTGACACTCAGTGGCAACACCATGTCAGTAATGCAGAGGCTCGGCATCGTATGTTCGGGCACACAGATGATAATTCAATTGGTGTTACCATCTTGAAACACCGACTTCGGTGGCTTGGACATGTTCTCCGAATGTCGTCCCAGAGAATTCCACGTCGTGCATTATTTGCCGACTCTGGGACTGGTTGGAAGAAGCGGAGAGGTGGTCAGTGCATGACATGGTGTCGTGGCATGAAAGAAAGCTGCAAAGGACTGGCTTGTGTTGGTCCTTCACGACTCCCTGGTTGGGGTCTGAGAGATGGTGCTACACAGTGGCTAGAGACGTTATCAGATATGGCTCAGAATAGAAGCCAGTGGCGATCCTGCTGTAACCTTCTTTTACTTTCTTCATAAAAAGTGGTTGTGTCTCCCTTACCTGAAAGATTTCTTCTGATTGTACCTTTTCGTTCCGTCGTTACTACCACACTACCTTACACCAATCTCTTCGTTATTGTTCTCTTTTTCTTTTGCGCTCCTTAGTTTTTTTTTCTACTTCTCTTCGAATTCTCATTGTTTTGTGTGGCGCATATATATTGGCGCTCTCTTGTACCAATATTCATGTGTCCAAATAATAATAATAATAATTATGGCGAACTGTCATCAGAATTGATTAGCTCAAGTGATGTTCGTCAGGGCTGTCCACTCTCTCCATTCTTGTTCAACTTTGTCATTGACGTACTTTTAGAGATAACACTTTCCTCATTTAAATTTACAGGGGTTGAACTTCTATCGGGAGATTCACTTATTGACCTAGAATATGCCGATGACATAGTTCTATTTGGTGAAGACGCTGACCACTATAAGAAACAATGCAAGCATGTTCGAGATGCGATTCTCCCTTTCGAAATGCAAAATGTTGCTTCAGGATTGGGTTGCATCGACACCCGAACTAATGATAGGGAGTGAAGTATTTGAGCGTGTCGATCGCTTCACTTATCTGGGAAGTCTCATCAGCCCTTGTGGTCTGGTTTGTGACGAAATCTCAGCACGGATACAGAAGGCTCGACTAGCTTTTGCCAACTTGCGTCATTTATGGCGTAGGCGAGATATCGGTCTATCAACCAAAGGACGTGTTTACTGCGCAGCAGTTCGTCCAGTCCTACTTTATGGCAGTGAAACATGGCCGGTAAGAGTAGAGGATATCCGTAGGTTACTAGTATTCGATCATAGGTGTCTTCGAAACATTGCTCGTATATCCTGGGACCATCGAATAAGTAATGCAGTTGTTAGGAAACGGGTACTAGGTAAGGATGGCAAATCAATTGATGACGTAGTGAAACTTCATCAGTGGGGATGGCTGGGACACGTGTTACGTATGCCCAACCACCGACTGCCTCGACGTGCGATGTTTTATGATGTAGGAGCAGGTTGGAAGAAAGCTAGGGGCGGCCAGACCAAAACATGGCACAAGTCTATGAAGTCACTGACAAGTAGACTGAGCCATGTTGGTAGGTGTAGACTACCTGGTTAGGGACCGCGAGATGATAGCAACCGATGGTTAGAGACCTTGAATGACATGGTTCAAAATCGTTTGCAATGGCACAGGTGCATCCACTCTTTGTGTTCTCCCAAATTCTAATCTTCTGAATTCTTCATGTCCCTTGTTTTCTTTCTAGATTTATTTCACTGTATTATACTCCTTGAATAACATCTTCAAACCCCAATGTTTCCGATTACTGCCTATACTTTTACCACCTCTACCACTATGGGATTTGAATCGACAACTGCACCTCTGTGCTAATGTGGTGTGGCAACTCGAACTGATGTACGTACGTACGAAGTTCTACGTTGTTACTGACTGACTGACACACAACCGAGGACAAGCTTGGATTAAAGTAATATATTAGTTAGTCACACCCTCAGTCACATTTTTTATTCTAAAATCAGTATACAGTTGTACGGATTTAACATACTTGTGTTGAACACGAAAGCATTATGTCGGTCGGCAATAAGTGAAGTATGTTACGAATGACTTGTCCTTTTTCCATCAGTGAAACTGTATCGCACAAATATTCTTGATACAGTCTATATGAACAGAAGATATGTCTCCTTTTAGGTGGTATTTACATGACATGTGTATGCGTAAATGGTCTGCCTCATCCCAACTGTTAAGCTAGACTGATTATTTCTTGTGAATAATTCTCAGCATTCATCTCTATCTGACCAATCGGAAGACTTTTTTAATAAATGAATGAGTAGACGAAGTTGATCCGAAATTTATAATGTATTTGCGCTATACGTTTTGAACAATTTAGCCACTCATATACTTGTCAAGGCATTTATGAAAACTAGTGGTCAAGTAAACATAAAATGGTTATTATAAATAAGGAAGAGAAAAAGTGCAATTTAATATAGAAATAGGACGTTCTCACACCACCCTAGGCCGGATAATAATCAAGACACCTTATGTAGCCGTGACTTTGTAGTTAATGCACTCGACTTTCAAGCAGTAAGTCGTACGATTAAACCGCGTTCCACCTTACTTTTAGTAATCGGTTAATATCACTAGTCACACAGTTTGTTTGAAAGCTTAGCGCATGAACTCACACTTGATAAACAAGTTAGTTAATATGTACTAATGGGTCTCAGCGACCAAGCCTAAACCTTCGTTTATACGGTATGTTAAGCAGCACGCTTCCTGAAAATGCTAGCTGCAAGTTGACTACTTACAACATTATGTTACTACCCTCTAAGATTTATTTTAAGACAATCAACCTACTACATGAAGTGCCTCTTGAATATCTTGAAAAATGATTCACTATATCAACAATTGGTTTTTTAATGTTATCAAGGTGTATAATGTGATGGCTTTTACTTGCTTGTTATTTATTTACAAAAAGCGATTTCCATGATCTGTCTATTAAGAATTAGATGCACATTAGTTTCTTGCTGCAGATGAATATTCCTATTCTTATGAGACCTAGTCAAATAAACCTTCAGTATGCTTATCGCATGATATTTGTGCTCAGATAAGTAGCTCTAAATCTAACTACAAAACTTTGAGGTTGGTGCTCGTGTCAGCATTCATATATTGGTACAAATACGCACCAAGACAAATTGAGTGAAGCTGTGAAGAGATAGATGAACGAGCTTGAACAATTGATAACTACGGAATGTCCGAAACCATATGAATCAGAATGTGTCTTTGTTGTATTACACTATTCTGTTTAAATTAATTGAATGAAATTGTTTTAATGACATGAAAATCTCAATCTACGTAATACTTATTGTTAATTTAATTTTTTTGATCTTAGCCAAGTGCCACAAAAGTTGACCAGGAGGAAGATGAACATCAAAGAAAATTTCGTGAAAAACGAAAGCAACATTACAACGAATTTTTGGCTGTAAAGCTAGCTAAAGAAAGTTTACAAAATGATGATGAAAAAGGGGAAAATATTGAAAAGGAAGATGAAGAAGTTGAACATAATGTTGAGCAGGCGATGATTAATGCACGGTTAAATGCTGAAATTTCCCGTTTAAGTCGAAACACAGCAGCCTATCTGTAGTATTTTGAGAAATCAGAATCTTTCAAGATCTCACCTATGAGAGATTCAAGATATTAAAGATTTTCGAATTTCTCTCTATTTATATGTACAAATATTCGTTTACTTCTATCCAGTTCTCTCAGATTTGGCCATTTTATGTTATGATCACAATCCATGATACAATTTTTTAACTTTCTTTTATTCTACAGTATTCATACGCTGTCTTAGAACTTATATATTCTAAGCTACCGCCACGCAATTTGACTGATAAATTCGAAAATGTCCATAATTTCTTTATTGCAGAGTCACAGACCATTCCCACATTGTAAAATAAACCAATATAATACGAATTCTACTAATCTCACAGGACTTTTTCATAGTATGAATGTTTTGTTTAGTAATGTTTGGAATTTATACTTCAGAAAAGAATGGACAATCGTTCGACTTTTCTAAAGCAGAATGGTTTCCAGTTTACCTGAACAACTTAGCCTTGCATTACTATAGAATATATGTCTGTATTCAAATCTATGTTTTGTGGATATATATATCCACTTAACCTTTAACTAATGCAATATTGTATATTAGGTCATAAATTTCTTTATCCACAAATATATTGGTTCAGTTTTGCTCTTCTGGAGTTTTCGTTGTATGATGCATATTTAGTCGATTGATCGTTATATAACAGTCGTTTCTCCAGAGGACGATGAAAAAATTCACTAATGTTTCTACTTGAATTTTAAGATATTAATTTCAGGATATATTTTGAGGTTTGTGCAAATTCCGATAAATAAATACACGAAGTTAAGTAATATATTTTATTAGTTGAAACATTTAAAGCAGCATAATGCAACTGCAATGTTTGCATTGCAGTAAGGTGCGCGGTATATAGGTATCTCTGATGAAAATCACAAATGAATACCCCATCTAAATGCTGTCAATTAGTTAATTTATAGAATCTTACATCATTTCCTTCCTCGGACTTTCTATGAATATATGTTTTATCGGAAGTTCACAATATGTTAAATCAAAAGTATTACCATATCCGACAAATGTTTAACTAATTTTCTTATAATAGTTTGACTGTATTAAAACACTACACAATAATGAGAATAATACACTGAACAACCAGAGAGGGATAAAAACTGGCGGTAATATTGATTTTCAAAACTAAGTGATAAACAAATGACATTTTGTGTATTACCAGTGTTAATCATTTAAATGTCTATCAGATTTCATCTAAACCTAGAACACTAATTCAAATGATAGGTATCAATATTTCAAGGAAATAGTCGTCTAAAGATTATTATTAGTAGAAACGAGAATACCTATCCCCAAAATTAGTGTTTTAGGTTGACAAGGAGTGTGATATATATGTCCTCATAATCAATTTTGCCAATGCAGTATCATTTGTGCATTTTATTATGTTTTCTAAGAATTATCAGTCGTACAGTTTTATATTCTAAATAGTCTGCAAGGAGATTGAATATATAAAAACACATTGTGTTATTTGTACACTGTGTATCACTGATAAATATCACTATTGGCATTTATGATTAAACATTAATCAAAATTTAAAATTGTCTTCATTGGTCTCAACAATAAATTGTATGTCAGTCATGTAATATACAATTAATGACTTATGTTTTCACTGGGAAAAAACTTTTACATTATCATCGATTGTAACTATAATTTTCAGATAACCAGAATGTATTTCTTTCTTTGATAGTTCCAGTGAAATATGACACATTGAAGATAAAGAAAACCAACTATATGCATGTAACTATGTAGCATAATCTTCAGGACGTTAGTAGGTAATATGATCTTTAAAACCATCCAGTTTAAGAGAAAATTTATACCAAGTCTGTAATATGAGATAATAAACGGAGAAATATATGAATTGTATTTTCGGGAGAATTACATTTATTCCTTTAACAAATGAATATTACTGTTAACCTATTTAACTACCTGCATGTTTAACTATTAGACTTAGAGACATACTTCAGTTGTGTGGGGACTAGTAATACTGTTCAGTTGCATCCATCAATATTGATGAGTTTTTGCTTGAACCTGAGAACTAATGATCAAAAGCTGGATGTTTTAAACATTAAATCCCCTTTCCACCACTATAAGTTCTGCACTATTCAGCTATTAATTAGCCTTTTATTCATTCCCTTACAAAAATTTTGTAAAATTCTCCTTTGAATAAGAAAAAGAAAAGAGAGAGAGATCATTTCTCATGAATTCTGCGGCAAAATTCTAATTGCTCTATATAATACTAAATTTTTGATATAATTGTCGGCATAAATTGACAAACTGATGAACGTTTCGGAACTAGAAAATGCTTCACAACTATTTTGTTGTAGCTCAGTGTCTCTAAGCATTCTATACCCAAGATGCTATATGTAGATGACTTCGGGAATTCTATAGAATTGGCAAACATGATATCTACTAACTATTGAGTTGAGGCCTAGTTTTACACTTATCAAAGCAAAATCAACTACTACTAATTACTTGGTTTCGAGAAACATGTTTCATTGGCATGACAAAGTGTGCTTTTTCCCATCACATGTACGAACAATATCCACCATGATTATCTAGAAGTGAATGAAAATCTATCAATCTTAGAAATTAAGATTTAAAAAATGCCCCTAACGTTTAGTAATGATAATAACTTGAATATCATGTCAACTAGGTGCCTTGATTATTGCTCATTTGTTAACAATTTATTTTTACTGTCTGTTTGTTATCTCTTATCACTTTATCCCCTTCTCTTTTCTTACGATTTCATCTAAAGCATATAAAAACTGTTATGTCAAATGTGTTGTTTCTCTTGTTATTTTGAACTAAACTTTCTTGATTACGGTAATATAAAACTTGGCGTAATAATTTTACTGATGTAAATTTAGACTGTTTACAGTTGATGAGACGCCTTGAAATAAAACGAATTCATATTATTATGTAAATCTTGTTCTTCGTGCTTTATTTAAATATCTCTGTTGTTAAATACCTAGCCAATTTTATTCACCTATCGATGCCACAAACGCTTTACAAAAATATTCAAGTCAGAAAAACTGGTTTTAAGGGAAGCTGAATACAAAACTTATACATAGCGGAAGATTTGGCAGTCTATAAATTCAAGCCTTACCTTTGTGTTAAAAAGTGGTATGACTAATCTGTAAGTTATTTTTGACTTGTGTTCGTGTAGGGGTTGTTCCATCCGCATGTACAACTTATGAGGAAGGAAATTTATATCGATTTAAGGTAAATGTAAGGTTGACTTTCAACACATTTTCGTTATATCACTTTATGGATTTTCAATATATTTTTACTATACTTAGTGTTTGGTGAAAATTACGCAGTTCATTGATTTTAATCATTGCAACCTATATATATATATGATCGACTAACTTAAATGTATTTTTAATTATACTGGGGGCGTTATCAAATAAAGTTTCCATTATGAAATTCAGCTACTATCTGTAGTTTAAAAAAAGAATTAGCATTGTTTACTGTAGTTGAAGTTGTAAAATATTAGCTTAATGCACGGATATTTCAGTTCATTGCTTTATCTTTTTCCTAATATTCGTCAAGTGAATAATTAATTGTCTTGTCCAACAGCACTCAAGACCACTGTACTCCTTGGATTTATCTTGTTTTTCTTCATTATCAGTTCAGATTTTAAAAGATTTTTATTCATTTCTTCTTAAACATATTCATTGTTATGTAATTACAGTGATTGCTAGGAACGATAGATCCTAGGTTTAAATCTCGCGAGGCGGGATTGTTGATGCTCTCTGTTGAGGAGTATCACAATGGGACGAAACGGTCGTTCAGTGCTTCCAGGTTTTCCATGGTGGTCTAGCTTCAATTAACTCATGATCTCAACTATTAAAAATTACTATAATATCCACAAATTTATTTATTATTTATTTTAACACATAGATATTGGTACAAGGGGGCACCAAAAACATATGCACCACACAAATCTCATTCGACATGTGTGAGGGCTGTGATACTGCCCGGGTGCCCAAACCGAAGCAGGTGGTTTTCTTATGGGGCCACACCCGGAGCCTTCGACCTGAAGGTCTGATCCACAAGGCAGTGGAGCATCGTAAGGAGATACAGTCCCATGGAAGCCGGTGACCAACAATTGGTTCATACGTCATTTGTTCCTTCAGGATACTGGAGCTCATGTACACCATTGGCTTGGAATCATGGTTTTCCAACTCTCCTAGGTGAACTCTCTATGTCCACCAACCCGATTAAAGCGCCGAATATTCGCTTTTCGTTTTCTCATTTTCGTAAACAAACCCCCGCCACGAGAAGGCAATGAGTAGGACTTCTCTGGCAGAGGCTATATACGCGTGGCCATGTGAGATCATTTCGAGAGGGAGAGCGGACTCTCCCCACTCTCAGCCGTACCAGGGTATTTGGGGGCTAATATCCACAAAACCCCTTCTGATACTAATTGTATTTATTTAAGTTAGTATTGCTGTTATATATTTCATTTGTTTTAACTACATATGGTATCGACTAGAAAATTAACCTATTTATTTGTACTAATCAATAGTTAAATGAAATATATGATTGAATGTTTATATTGAACGGCAATTGCTTTAAATATTTAGATTATAAGAGAGTAAACTTAATCTTAAGAGTTCTATTGAAGTACAAAACAACATTGTGACTTAAATGCTAAAAACAAAAACTCATATAAACAGTAAATAAAATATTTATAATTATCTTTAAGAAATAACAGTATTAATGAGACCGACATGCAAAAAAGCTATTTTTATTACACATTCTGGTTTGTAAACAATGTGATATTTCATATCAGAAGGGTTTGTGTGTGTGTGTGTGTGTGGATATCATGGTAATTTTAATAGTTGAGATCATGAGTCAATTGAAGCGAGATCGTGTATGCGCACTGCTGAGGAGTCTAACGATAGGACGAAACGGTCGTTCAATGCTTTCAGGCTTTCCATGGTGGTCTAGCTTCAATTAACTCATGATCTCAACTA